AAAAAAAAAAAAAAAAAAAAAAAAAAAAAAAAATATATATATATATATATATATATATATATATATAGAGAGAGAGAGAGAGCAATAGAAAAAAAGTTTTTCAATACTCTTCGTCTCCTTCTCTCTCCCTTCTCGACATCTTCTTCACAAGTACGCGAGTAGTACTTACACAAAGTGGTATCGGAGCACTCGATCGTTAGTGTGTGTGAGATTACTTCATAGATGAGTGAGTCTTATTTTAACAAATTGGTATCAGAGCCAATGGCAAATATGATGGCGAATATGATGGGTCAAATGCCGCTACCGCGATTAACGAAGATGAATTACGAGAATTGGAGCATCCAAATGAAGGCTCTTCTTGGTTCTCAAGATGCATGGGGGGTGGTCGAAGAAGGCTTCGAAGAACCAAAGAATATCATAGGTTATACGGCGGCACAAAACAAGGCGTTAAAGGAGTTGCAATCAAAGGACAAGGCGGCATTATACATGCTGTTCCGAGCCGTTGACAAGTCGAGCTTTGAGAAGATTGTCAGGGCAACTGCTTTAAAAGAAGCGTGGGACACTTTAGAAAAAGTGTTCATAGGAACAGACCGAGTCAAGCAAGTGCGTCTCCAAACTCTTCGTGGCAAGTTGGAGAGCCTGAAGATGAAGGAGTCAGAAAATATATATGACTGTGGAAAACCAACTAAATCGAAACGGAGAAATGTTACCCGAGACACGGGTTGTGGAGAAGATCTTGAGGTCTTTATCCGACAAATTCAATGATGTTGTATGTGCGATAGAAGAGTCGAAGGACCTAGCAAAATTCACGGTCGATGAGCTCGCCGATTCTCTGGAGGCACACGAGCAACGTAAGAAGAAGAAGGAGGAGACACTCGATCAAGCACTTCAAACAAAAGCATCAATAAAGGATGAAAAGGTACTCTACTTTCAAAATATTCAAGGTAGAGGTCGTGGAAGTCGCGAAAATGGTCGAGGTGGTCAAGGCAACAATTATGAAGAACATTATAAGAAGAATGGACAATCGAGCCAAGCAAATTGGCGTGGAAGAGGACGCCATCAAGGACGTGGTCAAGGACATTATTCCAACATCCAGTACTATAAATGTCAAAAATATGGTCATTATGCAAATAATTGTAACTCCGACAAATGTTACAGTTGTGGTAAAATGGGTCACTTTGCAAGAGATTGTCGAGCCGAGGAAAAGGTGGAAGAAACGATCAACCTAGCTTTGGAGGCGCAGCAAACGAAGACATTCTCTTGATGTCTCAAAATGAAGAGCTGAAAACAAAAGAACACAACGGCGTGAAGGACGATGGCAGTAGTAGTGAGGCGGTGGAAATTGTTGGAAATGAGGTGATATGCAGCAGATTTGGCGAAATCACAATATCGGAGACGAGAAAATCGAAGGAGGATAAATAACCGGATAACAGAGAGCTTGAGATCGAAGAGAGAGAGCTCCAGAGCAAGAAAGAGAATTTGAGAAAGAAAGAGGATGAGAATGAAAGAGAAAATAGAAGAAGAAAAGAAAGATTTTGAATTGAAGCTTGAAAGGTTAGAGAACGAAGTGGCTGAGCTGAGTGAGAGTTATTTCTATCTCAAATAGGAGAAGGAAGAGAATGGGAAGGTAATCTTTGAGCTCGTGAAGAAAATTGAAGAAGATATGGAGAAAGATAATGGTTTGTTAATGGATCTTGATGCTCTAGTGGAAGAGCTAGTGAGGGAGGAGAAAGATGTAGAGATGCTAACTCAACAAAGAGACTCACTCGACGTGAATCTGAATCGGGTCCAACACGAGGCAGTGAATTTACGACACACGGTTGAGATAATCACTTGTGATAAAGCCATAATGGAGGAGGCAAAAATGGAAGTGGAAAATGTCGTGGTGGACTTGCGAAGGGAATTGAGCAAACTGAAAGGTCTCAGGTTCGAGTAGAAGAAAATGCAAAGTGTAAAAACACACACATCGTGATGACGGGCGTCAAGTTATCGTTCTCACTCAGCTCGAACTGTGGGAAGAGAGGATACCTAAGCAGGAATTGCTGGAGCAAGCTTAGGGAACAAGGTTTTCTGCGTACACGTCGGTGTATATCATTGCAGAGGAGCCAACTTATCAATAAATAAGTTGAATAACTCAAGTGGTTAGAACTTTGACCTAACATCACAAAGGTCTCAAGTTCGAGTAGAAGAAAATGCGAAGTGTAAAAACACACACATCGTGATGACGGCTCTGGGTATCCGTGGGACGGTGAAATTCGACGATGGCTCCGTTGTCGAGATCGAAGTACGCGGCACTATCCTGGTCGCCAGCAAGGGAGGCGACTCAAAATTTGCGATAATCAACGATCCTTGCTCATGCAGGCAAGGTGCACAACGAATTTAGTTATTCTCTCCCTCATTTTTTACGCATTTTTCTTCCAACAACGAATTTATGTGAAAACAATAGTGCATATAGACATTTGTATTCAAATCCTTTGGCTTCAACAAACGTTGTACCAATTGATCTCTAGTTAACATCTTTTTATCCTCGATCGTTGCTCATGCAGGCAAGGTGCACAACGAATTTAGTTATTCTCTCCCTCATTTTTTACGCATTTTTCTTCCAACAACGAATTTATGTGAAAACAATAGTGCATATAGACATTTGTATTCAAATCCTTTGGCTTCAACAAACGTTGTACCAATTGATCTCTAGTTAACATCTTTTTCTCCTCGATCGTTGCTCATGCAGGCAAGGTGCACAACGAATTTAGTTATTCTCTCCCTCATTTTTTACGCATTTTTCTTCCAACAACGAATTTTCTCTCACCGAATTTATGTGAAAACAATAGTGCATATAGACATTTGTATTCAAATCCTTTGGCTTCAACAAACGTTGTACCAATTGATCTCTAGTTAACATCTTTTTCTCCTTATGAGTCACATCGAGGAGCATCTACTAGCTAGGTTCCAAGCTAGCACGTCAGTTTGTTGTACCACTACAAGTTGCGAAATTGACTATCCATATCTGACCCAGTTGTCTTTTTACAATCATATACTTATCATCATGCATATCCTCTAGACGACCTTCATCATGGTACTTCAAGCAGGGTTAGCTCTACCTCTATGGTCGAAAGTGGTGGAGACCGCTCGTGTCTTCTCAAGACTTGGATCACCTCAAGCGATGCCTTTATTGTTGAAACTAGTCACCAACATTTATACCATACTAGCTATCTAAGCTATGAGAGAACTTTTTTTTTTATCACGAGACTTTGAAATCCTTGTTTCATTAGTTATCTTATCTCTTAGACACGATGGAGTGCAAATGTCAACCTCGTTCCACTCTACTCATTCAAGGATTGTTTAACAGTTGAACATGTTTTGGTCTCTTATTTTTTTGGGTATCTATCTTTCTAATGCCCCCTGCCATTGTGTCTAACACAGGCACTTGTTTTGGCTAATGTGGCCCTGTTCATGTAGTTACGTTGTTCCGTTTGGTTGCTCTTGCTACATCCATCACTGAAATTTAAGGACTTTTAGTATGATTTTCCTTTGCCTTACATCTCGGATTCGGGTGCATCATCATCTGGCACCCAACAAGTCTTGACACAATTAATCGAGTTTTTTCGAGGCTATAGCTAGAAGCATTCTCTTGGAGGCATGAAACTCCCACTGGCTCATGCCCTTGAAACAAGACTTGCTCGTTGGTTGTCTTTTAATCTAGATTATTTTCAAGGTTGTAATGATGTTGCACAGCCTACTATGGTCCTTAAGCTTTTTTTGGGTTATTGGGAGTTTTAACCTTTAGGCCCTCTTCCCAAAGTTCTCCTTAAACATAGTCCTCTCTACCTTAACATTCGTCTAGTCTGTCCCTACCTCCAGCAACAACATCAACAGCTAGTGGTATTTTGGTCGTTCTTTTATCCAACCAACGAAAAAATCTACTCACTTGGACACTTGTCCTTGGTATGCCTTCCCTTAAGAGAAGTCACAAGGATTAGATCTAGTTGAGGCTTTACCTCATCTGCTACTACGTGAAGAACCTCATGCAATAAATTTCAGTTAATAGGTATTCTAACTAAAGCTTATCCTAATTAGATTCATTTTCAATTGGAACTAGGTTGTGATTGTTGCTTGCTACATACATACTGTCAAGGCGAGGCATGACTATGAGCCAAGCTGCCGGGGACACACTGACTTTCTATCTAAAGAAAATTGTCTACCGGACCTAATCAACCTAGAGATCTGATATCAAAGTATAACCCGACTTTATTGCATGAAATTTCATTTGTGTAAGGGTAAAAAAAAAAAAAATGTTGTAACTTCCGTAGATAGCACAATCCTACAATCGCACATCTCTCTATTCACTCAGCCAAAAACAAAAAACAGAATCTTAGATTTTCCATTTCTAACAAAACACTGTGGAGGCTGCACTATTGCACAGATTCGAAGCACAGGAAATAATATTATCGTTTCGAGAAAAGCCTATAAAAAAATAATATTATTGTTTCGAGACCATTTCTGTAAATCAATTTCTAAATTTACTTTTCGTCAAAATTTCATCAATTTCCTTACAAAACTCTTGAATGGTGGCTGAATATCTAAGTTAATCTTAGACTTCCCTTTGTCCTAATTTCGTTGCAATTATTTAGTTAGAAATTAAATACTAAGGTGTTCGAGTAATTCCGTAGCCATTTTGTTCTTATAAAACCGGCCAAAAGTATTTGTGAAAAAAAAAAAGAGGAAAACAGGGAGGGGAGAAACATGGACGGGTAAAACAAATAGGGAAGGAAAATGGAAGATGTGAAAAAGCATTATTGTTTGTCCTTAATGAATATACAACCAAATGATCCTATGACATATTTTTAGTTTAAATTTTACTAGTTTGGAAACGATCGTAACATGAAGGCAATTAAGTTTATATTCAAAATAGGTGAAACCTCGATAGAAGTAAGAACGAATTCGAAGGATGAAAGAAAGAAAATTTGGAGCTTGATAGAATTTTAACTAAGGCCAACCAAGTAAGTGGTTTTACTATCGGCTTAGTCGGAAGACATGTCTTATGTATAATGACACGTTCACAGTAGCCCTCGCACATGTCATTTATGTTTTATGTTATATGATGATGTGACGACATTATATGATGATGATGAGATTATATGATGATGTGATGATATTATATGATGATTTGATGACATTATATGATGATGTGATGACATTATATGATGATGTGATGACGTTATATGATGATGGATGATGACGTGATGACGTTAGATGATGATGTGATGATATTATATAATGATGTGATGACGTTATATGATGACGTGATGACGTTAAATGATGATGTGATGATGTAATGACATGCTGATGTGATGATTTTATATGATGATGTGATGATGTACATGATATTGACATGATGATGATGATGCATGATAATATGATGATATGAGACGTATGATGATGAAATGACTTAATAGGATGATGTTCCATAATAAGACGATGTGCATGTATTAAATGTTACAATGCACTATGACAATGAGTTTTCAAAGACAACCCTAGTTAATGTTAATGATGATGAATGTTTAAAGGTCAATGCTGCATGTTACCTAGAGTAACGTGTGAACAAGGTATAGGGTTGTGTCATAAAGATGATTTAAAGATAAAAACTATAGGGACCTCATGCATTTTGTGTGTTCATATATATCGGGATACTTCTCTATTTATGATGATGAGTACGGACACGTACACTTTGATGATGATGATGATCATCATGTCTCGCATGATACTCTTGGTCTGCTGACCTCTGGACATCGCTATGGATAGCTAGCTCGACTATGATGGGTCCAGGGGAGGTGTAAACCGCCTGGAGATCCACGCTCGCATGTGTGGGTCATGTGTAAAAAACTAATACACATCTAATTTTTTCCGTACTAGAGGCCTCCCCTATGATTGTTTTCAATGATAGATCCCTAGATCATGAGTTGCACGTGTTTGCATTCACTGACCCTAATAGTGGGGTCATTTGCTAAATATTTCTTAAAATAATTAAGCACTATGCTACTTCTTTTTTCTTTTTTTAGGTAAAAGCAATCCCAACATAGCTGATGACGACATCGTAATTCGAGACCATGACACATGCATAAGATAGTTGTAGTTACTTTCTTAGACTTACGTTAGAATAGAGTCTTTAATTTTAACATTTATTTATTATATTTTGTATTTTGTTGTACATATAACTTCTTTTTTCTTTCTTAGGTAAAAGCAATCCCAACACAGCTACAACGACATCGTAATTTGAGACCATGACACATGCATAAGATAGTTGTAATTACTTTCTTAGACTTAGGTTAAAATAGAATCTTTAAGTTTATCGTTTATTTATTATATTTCGTATTTTATTGTACATACAAAAGATTTTTTCGAACCATGACATGTTTTAAGGCGGTTTAATTTCACATATGAGTATAGACGATGACGACCATAGCGACTCTAAATAAGTAGAAATTTAGGGTCGCTACAATGAATGTATAGTTCTTCATCAGTTTTGCGCGAGGCGAGCATTGAATCACTTTGGCCCATGAGAAGGGCCCTAAGGTAATACTCACTGGTATGCAGGAGACCTTTTCGTTCTAACGGTGGTCGTACTCCATACCTAAATTATGGATGTAAATAAATTAATACGAATCACCATGCTCAAATCTAATATGAAATAATAAACCAAAAATGAAAGTTATATAGGTATGTATACATATATACATAAATAAGTTTGAGGCCAACAAATTATCTTAAAATTAATCATGAAACCTCTCCACCCCAATGGTTGAAATGATATGCCTAAGAAATTGTTGAAATATTTTTACAACTCAATCATGTATGATGGAATCATCAAAGATTTGACCTTTTCGAACTCTGTCTGTAACTCACTATAGGCTCGAGAAACAAAGAGAAGATGTGTAT